TGCAATTTAAAACCGGTTTATAATCAGCACTTAAACCAGAAATGGGCGAAAGGAACCCATCGGAATTTCTTTTGTAGGCATAACAGTTAAAAAGATCTTTATTATATTTGTTTTAAAACTATTTGCTGGTACCTTCATTTGGCGGAGCAAAGTACAAATCGAACTCAAGTAGGTACACAACAGTATGATATTAAACAGGGCTATGCACCTACTATGCTTGTGTCTACAAGAGTTCAAATTCATTTTCACCTTTCATGTTTTTGGATTAACCCTTTTTACTCGCGAATTGCAGAATTAATACGTATTTTACCGCCGGAGCGGCGACATCCGAATGGATAGGGTTAAAAGAAGCGAACGTGCAAACTATGTCGTGAGTCCAAATGTTCTAAATAAGTTTATTAGTATCCATTTTGTAGATTCGAAATGCTTTTCGTATATTCAATTCTTAATAACAAATAGGTGCAATTTTGATCCAATTCTACGGATTGGGTAGGTGAGAAGTGAGAATGATTTATAAAACACTTGGCGTGAAATAGTTTCTGTATATTATGATAAGATTTTTGGTTTTTAATGAGTACCCAAAACAATACATTTAGTAAATTCATATTAATATATAGTCATTAATAATTTATCTTAGTCTTAAGACATTTGTATTGTTTCTTCGGGATTTTTATATTCGAATCATTGCAAGTTTTTTCACTTTTCTTCTTGTTTGGTTTTACATCGCTTGTTTTTTATACTAGTGATAATAATGAAATAATTCAAGTATGTTTAGTATATTATTCAAAACCCTGGTCAAGAAGATCATCTCTCATATTACATTCATAGAAAGTGACACCAGATTCTTAACAACACAAACATTGAAAGTAGGCTGGTGACATAGTTGACAATATAAAATATTTGCTGATTCTTGCATAATAACTTATGAGATTCTGTGCGTTAGATTGTCTTTGTACTGGTACATAGAGATCCCTCAATGTTTTTAAGGGAGTATATCATCGTCGTATCGTTGTCAATTTATTCGTCTGCTCTCTAATTTAATATTACACCAAACAAAATTAAGGAGAATAATATCTATACAATACAAAATAAATTTAAAACCCGCACTGTTTGAGTTTTTATATTCTATATAATTTTTAATCAGTTTTATATAAAATTTTCTATAACTATTTATGTTTTTTTCGATCCTCTTAACAATTCTTTATTGCATATGTTCATGATTCTTTCTAATCAGTTTTAAAAATTATATTGAAGCACTATTTATTGCAATTGAAATTTATTTTGTGTTTATTAAAGTACACACACAATCCTTTTCAAAAGATAAAATTATTCAAATAAATTATTCACAATATCGTGTTTAGTATTTAATAAATACTATTCATGATTAAACAACTTGTAGCATATAACATCAGTCAATGAAAAAATTCAGAAATATAATAAATATGGCTTCGGTTTTATTCCATCAAATTTGTAATAACATAAAAATTGTTGATATGAGGGGTAGTAAATTCCGCAGTTTCTAATCACATAATGTTTAATTTATAATCAATTACTTAATTACTAACTTCCCGTAGGGTAGTTATAGTAATGGGCCGAAAATCGAAAATAAAAATTGTTGCATATCTTCACGTTTTGAAGGTTTCTGAACATTTTGGCATACCTTTGAAGAAATGGATGTGTGTGTGTGTTTTGTGTGTCCGCATTTTTTTGTTCACGTTTTCGGGCGCACGGATCAACTGGTTTTAATAGTTCAAAAAACATTCGATTCCTATTGATAGGGAGATGTTTAGGCTGATTATTGTTTGGCAAAGATAGGTCCAGCCGTTACGGAGCAAAAGTGCAGAAAATAGAAATCGAGGTTTTGAGAGAATGGAGTATCTAATTTGAATGATCCAAAAAACATTAAATTTGTAATGATTTGGAGAAGTTGTGTTTAGTTTTTTGCAATGGCAGGTCCAGCCATTTTGGAGACACAGGGTTAATTGTGCAAAAAATTGTAGTGTTTGGGAGAACTAAGCATTCGATTTGAATTATTCAAAAAACTTTCTGCTTGTTTTGACAAAATAATTGCTATGGAAACAAAAAATTATTTCAAAAAAATTTTTTCGATTTTTTTTTAACATTTATTTTTGTATATTTTCGATAATGCAGATTTTAATTTTAATTCTGGTTAAAGTTCTAAAGCTCACTTATTACTTTAAATAAATAATTTTAACTCTGTAATTCAGTTTATATAATTCTTAAAAATATTAGACAATGTTACAATATTGATAATATATATTTGAAAACATTTAATATTCTTCGAACACTTCGTTACGGTACGAGAAGTTCCAGCAATTTGCTATAAGGCAAGATGCTATACACAACTAGTTTTAAGTGCAATACATATGTTTATGTATGTAATGGATTAACTACAGCCAAAGTAATACATTATAACATTTTCAGTTGGCCTTCAAGCAACGAGTTTTTGAAGCGATGAGTTATTTTTCCACAAATACTGAAAATGCTCAATGCATGTACTTAATATTCGAAGGTTTCTAATAACAATGAGCGATGCTCAGGAAGGGCAACGTTACAGATTCGCATTTGCCCTGTTTAGAGTTTTCGGCCGGTATAAAAAGCAGGAGCGCGGTCACCGCGCGGCAAAAAATGTGCGCTCTCTTGAGCCGCGGCCGCGCATTAATCTTCTCGCCTACAGTTCCGGCCGATACGTTAAGCGTAGCGCTCGTGTTTCCGCATTTTACAATTAACTGAAGGCTGGCGCTAATAAAGTTCTAAGTGAAATACATTGCATTCAAGGATAGTTTTCATAAAAACTTTGTAAATCAATTCTCGCTTGTTCAGTGTTTATCATTGTGTAAAATATTTAAACAAAGGAATTTCACATCAGAAAAGGTATCAATTTTTAATTTGTTAGAAGCACATGTGAGGTTGTAAACTAGTACTTACGTGCAATTCTTGATAATATTTGTATCCCCGAAAATAAAATATTTAAATGTAATATCAAGCTTAAATGTTACTAAAAACGTTTTTAAGCTATTTTTAAATGCTTTTCAAATGACAGCTTATCTAAGTTTTGGTTTAAATAAATTTATCATGATATATATATATATATATATATATATATATATATTAGGGTGGTTCTTAAAATGGTCATTTTCGAATTTCCTTGCTCCCAGGGGCTCAAATGGTTCCAAATTGATAAAAAACAATTCTCTGAAAGTTTTAGCTCTTAATATTAACGTTTAGATAGAGCGCAATTCAATCAACCTTCGTATGGAAAGAGCATGAAAAAAATTTAAAGAATTTAAAAAAAATGTTTTAGGTATAACTTAGCGACAAATGAATGAGTTTTATTCATTATAAGAATTTTTGAAAATGTTTCCATGCTATTTCCATACAAAACTTTGATTGAATTGCGCTCTATCTAAACGTTAATATTAAAGAGCTAAAACTTTCAGTTTTTTTTCAATTTGGAACCATTTGAGCCCCTGGGAGCAAGGAAATTCGAAAATGAGCATTTTAAAGACCACCCTAATATATATATATATATATATATATATATATATATATATATACAATATATAATAACAAATAGTAGTCTGCCCGAAGGCAGGTCCACAGTGTGAGAGTCACTACAAATCAACGGTTCCTTTTCCATCTTCGTCTATTGTTCCCACTACCAGTAATTTCTCTATTTAATACATTTTTTATGTATTTCATTTTCCAAACTCCTGCATCCATGCTTCCTGATCCTGCGCTTCGGCTTTTAGTTCCTTGGATTTCCTCTTATCGGTGGTCTTAACAATATGTACTACATTTTTAACTTCCCGTAAGTTATAGTAATCGCAAAAAATCGAAAATGAATTTTTTTATATATCTATACGTTTCAAAGGCTTCTGAATATTTTGGCATACTTTAGAAAAAATGAATGTATGTGTGTGTGTGCGGATACAAATTTTCGTCGACGATTTTGGGAACACCGATTAACTGATTTGAATATTTCATAAAACATTCGATTCGTATTGATAAAGAGACGATACAGGACAAAAAAGTGCCAAAAATGATAACTCAGTTTTTAAGAGAACGAAGCGTCCGATTTTAATAATTCATTAATAAAACATTTTACTTGTATTGACAAGATGAACAATTGATTAAATTTTTGAGAAGACAGGTTCAGCGGTTATGGACTCTCTTTAAAAATAAGTTAAAAAAATGTCATTTGGCGGTCAAAAATGCTTATTGGATATATGTACATTAAAATCAGATATTTTATAGATATTTTAATAATGTGTACACATTTTGTGTATTTTTTTGGGGTTCCGTACCAAGATTTTTAATTACGGCACGGGAAGTTCCAGCAATTAGACTTAAGGCACGATGCCACTAGTTTCTTAAATTTTCAAAATTCTCGAAGCTTAAGTAAATTTATTACGTTACTTTATAACATGCAACTTTCTTAAAAATATAGAACAAAAATATATTTTTAATTCAGAATATTGGGTTAATGCAGTGTGTAATGACAAGGCGAAATCTATTACAATATAGTTCCTTGATTCGAATTGGAGTTTAACTCACGTGAGTGCACGGATTTGTCTTCAAGCAGACCACCATTATTTATCATAATTTATTTGTTTGTGTGTTTATATGTACCGATATTTTTAAATATATATAATTGTCAACGAAATTAACAATAATTTAGAACAAAAATATTTATAGCCGTTGTTAATCGAAGAAAAGTCTCAAGAGTTGTAAATTAATTTTCCTTCAGCAGATATTCAAAACAGAAGTCATTAGAACCGGGAAGCGATACAAAACGTTGTTTCAACGTCAAACTGATGCTTCACCCGTTTCGCGATCCTTGCTATTACGAGGCCGAAGACAATCGATCGAAATATTATTCGAATATAATAAGGAATCTTTTAAAACGAGATCCTGCTGTTGAAAATTACGAAAAACGTGAATACATAGAGAACAGATAAATATTTTGCCATTAAATAATGGCAAAAGATTATTGGCGTTTATTGCTTGTTGCCCTAATGGCGTTAACTGAAGCTGTTGCTCACGATTTGCGACATTTGAACGGGAACGCGACGAGACACCGCAGGAGTGGCGGATATCCCAAGTTTCCTCAAGAGACAGCGGAAGACGATTCCAGCAGTGCAGGCAAGTGCTCACTAATAACTAACACCAGTAACAGCACCATTCTATGTCAGTCTTTCTTTAATTATAAAACAATTTCTTTCTTCACTGTTTAAAAATATAAGTTTGTGTTCTGAAACTTTACAACACGCTAGTAATGATTTACAAAAACCTAGTATTTTATTAAGTAATCTTTTGAATAGACTGTGCGAATTAACATATGAAAATTTATTGAAATAGTTGGTTGAAGAAGTACAAATAATTTGCAAAAAAGATGGATTGCAATAACTATTTTTAAGAACAAAATACAAAAGATAATGAAGCGTTATTATCACAAGATCAGAGAATTTTAGACCCGAAATCTTATTTTAATGTATACTATTGTTGTTTGGATATATTAATTTCACAAACCAAACATAGATTTCATAACTTTTGCGACGTAAGTAGTAATATTTGTCTTTTTGAAATCGAGAATTAATAAACGTTTCCGGAAAACTGTCGACTTACTGTAAAGAAATATTGTAAAATATCTCATATAATCATGATCAATTGATAGTTCTAGAAATAGGTTTGAATACAGAAATCTAAGAAATTTATTTCATTAAAGTACAATGATGGATGCAATAGGCTTGCATCCAGTTTTACCAACGAAATAACAGTATGCATTTTTTCTTGGCCCTTAATTACAATTTACAATTAAAATCGCAACTGCTAAAAACTTTCTTTTAAATTAAAACTAATTAAGAATTACGTAAATACTTTAGGACATAACTGTCTATGTTCCTAGAGACAGAAACTTTATAAAATTTAAAGATCACTAAATAAGTCAGTTTTTCAAAAGTAATGTAAGAAGAGAGAAATATATATGGAATCATTTGTGAATAATTCAGAAAATTAGAGTCTTTTCAGTCCTTCTATGTTATTTAGACAACGTAACGTAGAAGGCACCATTATTATATTGTCTAGGGAAGGCACTCTTCTTGTCGAATGGGTTCTATCCACTTTTCTTTACTTACTTGGGATAGATATGGGAAAAATTCTATACTTATATATTTATTATAATTATTCAAAACAAAATCATACTGAATACTTGCGGTGTATGACATCGTGCCTTAAGGCAAATTGCTGGAACTTCCCGTACTGTAACGAAATGTTCGAAAAATATTAAATGTTTCCAAATAGATTATTATGAATATTGTAACATTGTCTAATATTTATAAGAATTATATAAACTGAATTACAGAGTTGAATTTATTTGTTTAAAGTATATTAGAACTTTAATCAGAATTAAAAATAAAATCTAAATTATTTTCGATATACGAAAAAAGTATTAAAAAAAAAAACAAACAAAAATTAAAAAAAAAATTAAAACAATTTTTTTTCTAAAAGTAATTATTTTGTTGAAACAAGCAGAAAGTTCTTTGAATCATTCAAATCGGACGCTTAGTTCTCTCAAAAACTGCTATTTTTTGCACATTTAGCTCTGTATTTTTGAAATGGCTGGACCTGCCTTTGCCAAAAACTAATCGCCTCTTCTCCTAATCATTACAAATTGGATGTTGTTTAGATCATCCAAATCAGATACGCTGTTCTCTCAAAAACTCTATTTGTATTTTCTGCACTTTTTGCTTCATATCTCCGTAACAGCTGGACCTGCATTTGCCAAAAACTAATCAACACATCAAGTCGGTTGATTCGTGCGCCCGAAAACGTGGACGAAAAAATGCGGACATACAAAACACACACACACATCCATTTTTTCTGAGGTATGCCAAAATGTTCCGAAACCTTCAAAACGTCGAAAAATGCAAAAAAAATCATTTTCGATTTTCGGCCCATTACTATAATAAGAGTAAAACATAAAGTTATTCGACACGATTTACCTATAACTTTGCAAGGAATTGAATGAATTCAGAAAACATAATAAATAACTTATATTAATTTTACAAATGGTTTTACAAAAATTTACAAATTAATTTTAATCTATTTAAATTATAAAATTATTATTTAATAAGTATTGATATTGATTTGATTCATTTAATTTACAGCCGTCAGTATAGAGAGTCTCAGCACAGATGACTCTGACGAGTGCGGGACCAGGAGCGTCGTGTATCAGCCTCAGCGATCTGGCAAAATAGTCGGCGGGCACGAACCACCTTATGGGGCTTACCCGTGGCAGGTAATAATTACTGGAATAGCATATTTATATCGTGAATTAAAAAAATATTAGTTAGTAAAATACGAACACGTCACACTATTTTTTCCATCAACTTTATCAAATAATATTACAAATTTCGAAAAAAGCGATTTTGCTGAAAAAACATTTCTATTCTAAAAAACCATAAAAGAATATATATTTATTCAGGTCGGTATTCAAGTATATAGTTATGACAGCGGACAATTTGATCATCATTGCGGAGGCGCTGTCGTGGGTCATAGACTTGTCTTGACTGCCGCTCATTGTCTGCAGGTGAATTTTATTCAGTTAATGTATATTTCACTTAATTGTTTTATTTTTTATTGATCTTGTAAGGTAGTATTGTTAGCAATTCGTAACACCATCGACATTCTAATATTAAATATTTTACAGTCATGTATATGATTATATAATATATATAATTTTATTTATTACTGGGCATTTTGTAATGCTTTCATTCGCATTTTGTTTCAATTTACATTATTATTTATAAATATTTAATTCAGTCTTTATTTGATATTTATATCTCATGTTAAATAATTGAATTTATATGAACATTTCTCAAAAGATGTACAACTTTTGTATTATGCTTATTTATTCGGTAATGAAGGCTTTTGATATATTTTTTAATTGTACTAAACTTTTCATAACTCTTGTAGTCATTTAAATGTTTTTATATGATGTTATATTTGAAATATGTAAGGTTGAGTTATAAGTTCAGACTTCAAGTTATCTGTTGATTTTATTCAAACACTAGATGTTTCTTTTCATTTAATTGACCGATTCATCGATGGATTCATTGATTGATTCAACGATTGATTTATTGGATATTTGATTTATCGATTGACTGAATCTTAAATATAAAATATGTGAAATATAATTATCTGTTTACAAAAAGGTCCCACTACCGATAGAACAATTACGGCTTGTTACCGGTGATCATCGATTAGGGCGAAAAGATCCACATGAACATATGTTTCGCGCAGAGAAAGTTCTAATTCATCCTGAATTTCGAAAATGTAAGTTTTTTGTAAGCGATTGGTATAGATATTTATGTCACTAATACGTTAAACACTTGTAACTAATTAAATAGGTACGTTTTCATTCCAAATAAACCGCTTTTCCTTTAAATGATTGATTGTTGAATATTTAAATGACATTTTAGATGGGCCGTATAGCAATGATATCGCTTTAGTACTAGTACGTGCAGCATCTGATTCGGGAATCGTATTTGATTCACATGTGCGGCCAATCTGCTTACCGGATGGTACACCTACGCCGCCCCCAGGTACTTGGTGCTCTGTATCTGGGTGGGGGGCACAAAAAGGTATTTTAGTGCAACAAATAATTTTACTGATATTACTTATTTTTATGAAAATTATTCTTATTTTTTACCCTCTCTTAATAATGGTCACTTAACATTCAGCGGAAGATAAAAACCGACCGGCGCCCGTACTACGGGCGGCTGCTGTGCCATTGTTAGACTTGCGTACCTGTCGCATGAGTGGTGTCTACGGCGGCAGACAGCAACCTATTTTGGATACTATGATTTGTGCAGGTCAGTGAGTTATTATCATATTTAACTTGTGTTTAAAAAAATCCGTAAAATCGTTTAATTTATTAAATTCACTTGTTTTTTTTTTTAATACTTGCGGTAAATCTTTTTTATTGTCGGAAGTATTTCCATCTTCAAGTTCGTCTACGAGCGCGATATATAAGTATTCAATAGAATATGATTTATTATCTGAATTATTGACACTAGTTTACTAAATTTTCTATTAAGTAGTAAGAACTAAATTTTTTTTATTTAATTTATTATGCAATCTGTTTTACATAGGCATTAACATTAAGCAGAGATTGCTAACAATAATCTTATAATATAAACAAGAAGATAGTAGCAACACCCAGCGGCGTGTCTACTTGATATAAGAACTAAATATTAACTTATTATTTTTTATTTATACCCGAAATAACTTTTCAGTTCAGCGTTATTTCAAGTCACGAGTAATTGCTCAATTACATTTATCTACTTTGTTTTTAATCAAAATGTTTGTGATATTGATAGTACTTTCATTCAAGAGAATTTTGGAATGAATTAAAAATTATAAAAAAAAATATTTTAAGCACCTCACACCGAATTTAATTGAAGTCTACTATAGATCTATCAAAAATCGTGTCATTCTCAGTTTTTTATTTGTTTACTCGTTTTTTAGTTTGAAATTAACAAACACAGTGTTACCCCGCACATCGAAGGACGCTACGCGTAACAAACTTTTTTTCGTCGCAAACGTTTCACACAACAAACTTTGCTTCACACAACACACAACGTACTAAATCGTTGTCATTTGTAGTAAAAAAAATATGTTGCTCAAATTATTCCAAAGTGTGTACCTTGGAAATGTTTGTCTTCGCTGTGAAAATACGTTGTATCTTGTTGAAAAAAAACTCACACTTAAATCATCTCGTTATTGGATAATTCACGTTTACAATCCAAAGGTCTCAAGAAAATTGCATGATCAAAAGCCTATGGAGATAAGACCAGTTAGCAGATTTCTAGTGCGTAAAGTCTATATAGGAATTTTGGTCAAATGCAAGAACTCATACATGTTTACTTTTCAAACATGACTGATGTTAAGAAGATCAAATTGTGCAATGATAAGCTCATTTGCGGTAGGTTTAAATAAGAAAGTAAAAAAACTACTATCGACAGTTTCTTTAAAAATTCTGGGCAAAAAAGGTAGCAGTACCACTCTAATATAATAACTTATTTTGTAAGTTTTTAGTATTAGTTTTTTCTTTTATTGTCTTAATTGTATGTAAAATATATCTTCTATGGTCATATTTAAAACTACAGAACGAATTAATTTAATTCTCAAGTATTTGTATGGAAAAACGAGTATCACATAGCAAACTTTTCGCATAACGAACGATTTCTCGGAACGAATTAAGTACGTATTGCGACGTATTACTTTATTTTACAATCCTAAATAAATGCATGAGGACACTTGACCACGGCACTTTAGAGATTTTTTTTAAAAGGAGCCTTTTAAAATCGACATAGCTTAACAATTAGTCTTAATTCTACAAAACTTGGGACAATTTTGTTATTATTTTTTACTGTGGTGCCAGAAATGTTATCTAAGGTTATGGTTTTGAAGTTTAAATGAAATAAAATACTAAAATTTAACCAGAACAATCAAAAAAGCATCCCGTGTAAACTTGACTTTAATATTTGTCAGTTATAATATATTTCAAATAAAAAATAATATAATAAATTGTAATTATTATTGATTAATAGGAGTTTTGCAAGGTGGAGTAGACGCTTGCGGCGGAGATTCGGGTGGGCCGCTCGCCTGCGAGCACGGAAACAAGTTCGTCTTAGCTGGCGTCGTAAGTTGGGGCGACGGATGCGCGAAGAGGAACAGGCCGGGCGTGTACACGCGCGTCGAATCATTCATCGATTGGATTCATTTGTCTATAATGCGCCTTGGTGTCATACGGTGAACGGGTGAACGTTTCGATTTCAAATTCAAATAGAAATCGAACGAGTACGAACTGAAATAGACGGTAGAGCGGGGATCAAAGGTCCGCGGGTGAAAAGATCTACCACCGATATCTCAAAAACTAGTAATGTTAGGAATATTTTAATAAATATATTTGAAAGTAGAGGAAACAAGATGTATAACCGGCCATCACCTTGATTCTTGCGACGTCGTTATCGTAAGATAAAAGGCAATGTTTGAAAATCCATAACAAAAGTATTTTTTTTCGTTGTTAGTTATTTTGGTTGTGAACGCTGTTGTTAGGTTTACGAGACCTTAATATAATTTTGAAGTATATGTTATTTCATTGTTTTTTAATATGTATTGGTAATATTAAGTTAGACTGTTTTTTTTATATATGCTCTATAAAAGCTTACACCTGGGCGGGGTAAAAAAAAAACAACTGAGTCTTAACCCTGGCAAAGGAGTAAACGGTAAAAAATAGTAAATAAAAAAAGAAATTAGGTTAGAAAAAGAATTACAAGAGATAAGTTAAATTAGTTATTCCAACTCTGCTGATGAATATTTCTGACGACATACTAGATCAAGGTCATTTACAGTGATATATATCTCTGTAAAAATTGCACCCGTGAAATATACATTTTGCATTGGTTGAATAATGTAGCTATTATTTTGTGAAATCATTTTAAAATTAAAATAAGACGTTGGACCTGTTCGCCCTTGGCCGTCTCAATTTACCCAGCCTATGAGGTAAAACGGACCAAGGTAACAAATTTTTTAGAAACAGCAAAAAAACACATTTCTACAATGATGAATTAGCTCGGATTTTTACTGAACATAGTCAAATAGTTATTTGCTTGATATGTGTAATTTGTGCTAATTAATTGGTTTAATTTTCACAGTATAATTGCTCAAAGATAATTTTTTGTGTCCCGCCCTACCCTATAGATATAAAGTATAAACACAATAACAATACGTTTTTCAAGCGAAATGAAACTTTAATGTGTGATTTTTCAACCATGTTGATATTTTTTTAAATAAATAACTATTAATATTAATATGATATAAGTAAACTAATTAGTTTAATAAACTATGGATACTTGATGTCATTAAACAATTATACACAATTGTTCCTATTTAAATTGTGATTCAAACTAGAAACACATTTCATATCAACTACTTTTTGCCCGCTATATGTTTGTCTAAATCACTGGGAATTTTGTGTAGTGGCATTTTTGGAAACAAAGAGTTAATATTTGTTACTCTTGAGTGAACTAACGATAGTATAAGTTACTTATGTCAATTTTGTATTACATAAATTACATAAAAATAATAGCTTCCAGGTATATAATAATACCTTTTGATAGTTAACTGAGCAACATACAAATTACTTTTGCTAATGAAATGTCTTATATCTATATATTGATAGGTCAAATGAAGAAATAATATTTGATACTCTGGAGTGAACTAATGTTATTTATTTTAATTTTCTATTATATAGATTTGTGTTATATGATATAATGAAAAAATGATAACTTGCAAGTACATATTATTTTCGCAAATAAAATGTTTTATCCCTATATATTAATAGGTTTTTATAATATTCTATTTTTGTATAAAATACATTTTATAAAAGTTTTTATTATTTAAGTTTTTATTGCATATTTTCGACAAACTTAGATGTGATGAACATATGTTATAATAAGAGTACCAATTAGAAGCGATTTCTTCATACAATAAGTTTTTTTCCAATTACAGTTTTCGATTGATCATTCATCAGGCGTAGTATTGCCATTTACATTTATAGATAAGTTCTGCAAAAATTTCGGATACCTACAAATATTGACCAATTCTTTTTTTTAAGTTCCCGAAAGAAAAGTTTATGTTTTCATCAAAAAATCCGATTCGCTATTTTATGTTTTCTCGAAGTTTCAAGCCATTCTGAATCGAATGAGACCAAATTTGGAAAAAGTGTGTGTGTGTGCGTGTATGTGAACAGATTTTTTGCCGTAAATCGACGTTTTCTCAAAAACGGTTAGACCGATTTCAAAAATTTAAAAGCCATTCGATGTATCTCGATGAGGACTAGCGTTTCTGAGTACGATAATCGACCGAGCCGTTTCTTTGTAAATCGCAAAAAAGTGAAAAAAAATTCGTGCACGTTTTAGCCCGCAATTCTGAATCGATTTTGAAAATTCAAAAACCGTTCGAAAGATATTGGTTGGGAATCGTGCTGATTAGTTTCGGCCGGGCCGTTTTCTTCATGGTAGATAACATAGTCTTATAGATCATTCTAAAATATTACGGCCCTACGACAAGTCGTTTAATTTTAAAAATTCGTCAAAGTTTGCAAAACTTAGTATCGTTTTTCTGGCGTTTGTCAAAATTAGACCTTTCATCGACGTTTGCTCAAAAACGCCTGAACCGATTTAAAAAAATTGAAAGCCTATCGATGTATTTCGATGTGGATCATCTTTTCTCAGTTTTGTGCGACAATCTGCCGAGCCGTTTCTTTATAATTGGGAAGAAAGTGTTAAACTTTTCGTCCGCATTTAAGCATATACTACCGAATCGATTTTGAAAAATCAAAAGCTGTTCGAAAGATATTAGTTGGGAATGATACTAATTAGTTTTAGGTAAAAATCTATCGAGCCGTTTTCTTGTAATTAACTGTTTAAAAAAAATTAAGCCAATTTTGATGGAACCTTTATTTTATTTATTAATTTTATTATTATTATTATTTGCTTTTATAAAATAAATAAATAAAAATAATAATATTAGTAAATGAATAATATTAATATTATTAAATAAATAATAATATTATTATTATTTAAATAAATAAAAAAAAAAAAATAAAAATAAATATATTTTATATTAAATCATCATACTACGGATCTCATTCCAATGTAAATACTATTATTTGTACTCTTTTTTATTTAAATTTATGTTATTGTTCATTATTATTACTAGATGTAAAGTTATTTAACAGTTGTAATAAATATTGTAATCAAAACAAAAAAAATGCCGCTGACAAACATAGGCTTTGTTTCAAATGACCTTGGAGAATCCTTTATTTTTATTGAAAACTTCATTTTTTCTACTCGTTATTTATAAAATTTATTTTTATTAATTTATTTTAAAATCTGAAAATTTATTTTTTGTATCTTGTAATATTTGTATATAATTTTATCGAAATTTTGAATTATTGAAATGGCGGGAATTAGTGTAACACGAAGTTAGGAAGATGTGTCAAGCATTTGTGACAGATTTGACAGTTTGACAGTAGTCGTGTTGGAACTTTGACGTATTGTCCGTGTTTTGGAATCATTTAATGTGTAAATAAATTCATAAATGGCTGGATGTATCAAATGATTGTTAATCATATGAAATTAAAATGGCTTTACCAGGAAATGGAATATTTGTCGTTCATGGTGAAATGACGACTGTCATAACCGCTATGAAAAGAAGCAATCGGTGGTCCTCGACGTCCCATAACGATGAACATAATTCTCTTCTAAAATCATTCCAGCAATTAAAAGAAATAATAAATGATATTACAGACTTAAGAATGCGAGATCCGTTGACATTTTTAGAACCTTTTCTTAAAGTTATCAGATCAGAAGAAACTACAGGGCCTGTTACTAGTTTGGCTTTAGCAGCCGTTAATAAATTTTTATCTTATGGAATTATAGGTATTTTATATATATTTTACGGTGATTTTCGCAGTCCTCCTAAACATTCCCTATAATTTTTGTAGATCCAACACATAACTCTGTACCTACATGTGTAGATAGTATAGCTGATGCCGTAACTCATGCTAGATTTGTTGGAACTGATCAAGCCTCAGATGGTGTTGTTCTCATGGAAATATTACAGGTGCTTGCGAGCAATGTTAAATAAAATGATTATCTATTTATAAAGTTCTTATATAATTTTGAGTTCCTATTTTAAGGTTTTGCGTACGCTCATGTTAAGTCCAGAAGGTGCTATGTTAAATAATGAAACTGTATGTGAAATTATTTTAAGCTGCTTTAGAATATGTTTTGAGCCCAGGCTTACAGGTATATATAAAATAATTTTATTATCTGATAAAATGAATATTTTGTGGTAAAAATGCAAATAAAAATGTTCTGTACAAAAATATGTTAACTATGTTTCTATAGAATATGCACTTAAATATAAGTTTTCACTAGAAATTATAATATAGAGCAATGCACTTTACACAAATATTTGTTACGAATTTATGTATATTGTGTGTGTGTGAGATCATATTTATTATATAAGTATTCAATTGTAGTGCAAGGTCATTGAATTATGAATGATTTTTTTTAGAGTTATTAAGGCGTACTGCCAAACATTGTTTACGTGACATGGTGCAATTATTGTTTATGAGACTTCCACAGTTTGCTGATGATTTACAGCAGTCGTTTAATTTGAAAAAACTAAAAATGCGAACACATGGTATTGAGCAAAACCATACAACTACCAAAGACAAAGAACATAATAAAGTTGCAATAGATGTTCAACAAATTTCAAGTAATAAAGGTAAATATAATATTAAGAAAATATTAGATTGCAATAAATAGTATATTTGGCAAAATACTGAATACCAAATATTTGGCATGTTCTAAACACTATTTGGTTTCTAGGTTTGCAACAACTATTTGGTTTCTCTTTGTTATTTCGAATATTTTACACCATTCATACTATTTGGCCGAATACCAAATACTTCAAGTAACATATGTGATACGGGAAATAAATGATAAAATGATAAAAAAGCGAATTTCACATATATAAATGTATTTCCGAGAATTTCTTTCATAAATATTTAATATTTCCCTCTTTGAACACAATATTATTCATAATATATATTAGGAAGGTTAACCTTAATAAAATAAATAAAAACTGACCTCTAAAAGAGCCTATAATAGCTCTTTATTTGGAAATGCTTAGATTGAATATAATGAAAGACTTTGTTGACTATATTTACAACACATGCTTCTAGCCATTGAATGATAACAAACATATATGCATTTAACAATAACATATCCTTAGTATATACAGAAAGGAGTTCTTCATGTGTTCATTTTTAATCTCAAATGTCGATAAAGCTTAAATTATTATATATACAATAACGAAATCATTTCTTCATATCACATTATGTAAACTAAAGACTTCCAAATGCAGATTCATCGCAAGCTCTTTATCGCATAAAACATAAAAATCTACTGGCGCTAAACGGCGGCAGCGCCTTTGCTTTTAACTATTTGGTATTTGTCCGAATAGTAAGTTACTATTCATTATTTGGCTGTATATTAAAAAACGTGCCGAGTATCGAATAGTAACCAAATATTTGGTGTAAGCCTAGAAAATATACTAGTATCATACAAAAATATTAATTCTCGTTCTTTATTTTATTCATATATTTTTGATGTTGTTATTATCAGAGAATTATTGTGATTAATGTAATTGTATTATATTCATTAATCTTTTGTTAACTTTTGTAATGTAGATATTTTCATAATTGTTTAATTAGATTTTACTAGTAATGGAGAAATATATATAAAGTAAACCCTCGCTTTACGCGGCAAGTGAATACCGTGCAGTATGGGGACCGTGCTATAAAAAGCTCGTATTTAACATACAATTCAGGCTAATTCGTAGTGCGTTCTATGGAACCTTACATAGTACAGTATGGGAGCCGTGCTATGAGAGCCTCAGAGTTGGTATAAATCAGACCATTTTTATCGTGCTGTATGGAGACCAAAAAATACAACTTGAAGTAGAAATACAACTTGAAATGACATGTATGATATAGACATCTTATTCAAAAATTGGCGCGACGCAGTAGTCAGCTCAAACGTGTTCTTAGGCAGCTATTTTATAATCAGGCATGTCTAAAAGATAAAAGTCGATAACAAAACTTACATCAATACCCTTTTGATATCAAGTTACTAGAATCACTCATAGGTTGCACAACGAACTTATGGGCTGTTGCCTAAATACCGTGTAATAAGAAGTCCGTGCAGTCGGAGGGATGTCGGATTTTTAGCTCTGTGAACCATGTACCCAGAGTGCCGTGTAAAGCGAGGGTCTACTGTATATATATATATATATATATATATATACATACATGCAAACATTAATTTTAGAGAATTTGTCAATTACTTTTCTAGATCAAAATAAATCTGATAATCATTTGCGGACAGAATCTTTATCTTCAACTCCATCAGGAAATATTGTTGATCTTCAGGGAACAATTTCTCAAAATCATGAACCAGTTAGGTAATAATATAGTGATCTGTCATTATTAAAATATAGTTTATAGAAGTTTTATTAAAACATTTTTTTCAATAGTAATAAAGTCAATGATAATACTGATGATACATCTCGAATAACAATTTGTGATGACGATTTACTAGAAAATGAAACAACTAGTTTGCTTACATCGGAACACAATATTACTGAATATACTGGAAATTCAGAAAAAGAATTAATAGTTGAAAATACACAAGATATAATTGACAATAATGAGTTGAAGAAACCATTAGATAATACTGATGAAAATGATAAATTAAATTCTGAAGACTTGAGTGGATACAACTCTGATTCTTCCAATATATGTGGTTCAGCAGAAAAATTATCTGAAGAATATATAAACTTACAGGGTGTAAGGTTTACAGCGCAAGCTGGTGAAGCTATTGTTCCTATTTCTCCATATGGTCTACCCTGCGTACGAGAATTATTTAGGTACTTGTTGATGAATAATTGTTGTTTTTTCTTTGCTACTTCAATGTAATTTGCTTATATTCATCAAATATTATTTTACAGATTTTTAATTTCACTTTGCAATCCCTTGGATAAACAAAATACAGAGCTTATGACTCATACAGGATTATCATTATTAACTGTTGTGTTTGAAGTTGCGGCTGATAGTATTGGAAAATATAATGTGCTGTTATCTCTAGTTAAAGATGATCTGTGCAAGAATCTTTTTGGGGTAATTAATGACAACAGTTTCTGAGCAATTTTATAAATTCAATACTTTGTAAAGAAAATACTTTTTGGAAACTAATAACTGAAGAGAAAACACATAAAGTCATTCTTTATAAGGTTGACTATTATGTGTGTTAGATTTATTGCACGAGTTACTGGGTCAACAGGTCAATTAATAATAGTAATTCTTTTTGAAGACCAAATTCTATATTGATCAATTTTTACGCTGTATTTAGAATACAGTATATTGAATTTATATTGCCATATTGCTCCTTAATTAGTCATTTAATAATATTTAAATTTACATATTATACCTTGTTTGTGTTTTAGTTGCTGAACACAGAAAGGCTGTCGATATTTGCCTCAGATTTGCAAGTTTGCTTTCTGTTGTTTGAGTCTTTGAGAAGACATTTAAAATTTCAATTTGAGTTCTATTTAAAGAAACTCTCTGAAATTATAATCAGTGATTCACCTAAAATACCTTATGAGCAAAAGGAGATATCACTAGAAGCTATAGTTCAACTATGGCATATCCCTGGATTAGTTACAGAATTATATTTAAATTATGATTGTGATATGCACAGTTCAAATTTATTTGAAGATTTAACAAAGTTATTGTCTAAAAATGCATTTCCTGTTACTGCTGGTGTATATCAAACACATTTGCTATCACTTGATGCATTGTTAACAATTGTTCAAGCAATTAATTCAAATTGCAACAACTCTAAATCCATTGACAAAATGACAAAAATAGAGTTAACCGAAGATATTGATAATGTTGAAAGCAAAGATGATGCAAGTGTTGTGGTTGACATTAATAATTTTATTAATACTGAAAAATCTGATAGACAAAAAGTAGTTGACAACGCTCCTAGTTTCGATGAACTGAATATTATCAAAAACAAGAAAAGGGTAAATATTATTTAAATAATAAATATACATAATAAAAAAAAAACAATTTCTTATATGTGTTTACTTCTTTATTTTATTTAGTGGCTGGCAACTGGTACTGAACTTTTCAATAGTAAACCTGAGAAAGGAATTCAGTTTTTACAAGAACATGGCATTCTTTCGCCTCAGCTGGATCCTCTAGAAATTGCACATTTTTTGAGAGAAAACCCTCAATTAGATAAAAAGATGATAGGTTTGTTATAAGTACAATTTACATTCTTAAAATGCATTATTATTTTTAAGTCAATTCATTTATTTTTAATGACTGTTTCTTAATTTATTGGGATTACTTAAAAATCATTGAAATAATATTATCTATAAAAAAAGCAATTAAAAGTATTAAATTGGTTTTATTTGAAGTTTAAAGTGCAACAACAATATAACAGACTGAGAAAGCAGAAAAATAATTAGTCACTTTTAACAAGCCTGTTCTTGGCATCAATAGTTTTTTTTTAATATAACAGTATATATTTTATAAAAATGTGTTATTACAGGTGAATATATTAGTAAAAAGAAGAATGTGGAGAGCCGAATTTTGGAAGTTTATGTTAGTTCCTTCGATTTCACTGACACTAGAATTGATGAAGCATTAAGATTATATTTAGAAACATTCAGACTTCCAGGCGAAGCTCCACTTATATTTTTAGTTATGGAACACTTTGCAGAGCATTGGCATGTATGTACTTCTTTACTTTGATGCATTTGTTTAGGATATATACTTGTATATTATACATGTAATAAATTTTATTAGAAATGCAATGGGGAGCCATTTGCAAATACTGATGCAGCATTTAGTTTAGCATATGCAATTATTATGCTCAATATGGACCAGCATAATCATAATGCAAAACGCCTCAATATTCCAATGACAGCAGAAGATTTTATGAAAAACCTTCGTGGCTTGAATGGTAATTCTGACTTTGACTCAGATATGCTGTTGGCTGTTTACAATTCAATCAAGTGAGTAGTTTAGATACATAAAAGAAATGAAATATTCTGTAAAATAATATTAACAAAAAACCTGTCTTTTTAACCCCTTAACTTACAATTTAGATTCAAAAATGTTAGTCCAAAGTTGTACAAGCAGGCGCAGCGTTTGAGATTATTTTCCCACACAGTATACAGATTAGTCACAAAAATAAAAAAATTGTGTTTTATAGTTTTGTATAAATAAATATTTTGTGATACTTGCGATTGCCGTACCGGGCTATGTCCGTAATGCGTAATATTTGCTTCTTGCCCAATTATCGTACGTGGGCTATGCCCGTAATATTTACGTTTGGGTTAGAAATCGCACGCGGGCTCTGCTCGTCATTTTAAGTTAAGGGGTTAAATTTTAAATTGATCGTAAAATAAACAATAACCAATTCAATTTTAAGCCTGCATTATACCCCTGGATTTGTGATTAATAAACTAGTGGTGCATGGCATCTTGGCTGGAACCTTTGGTAGCGCAATTTAAAATTTTTAAATTATTGAGATTTTTTTAAATCTTTGAAACAATTAGATTTTTGAGTATTTTGCAATATTTGAAAAAATTGGACTTTAAAAAAAAAATGTAATAATTTTTTCATGTTTTTAAATTTTTTGAAAATACATTGAAATTTAAAGCAATCGCGTTTTAGAGACAGAACATCGGGGCGCGTAAACGCAGCGTTACTGTCTAATGCAGCGATTTCCAACCTGTGGGGCGCGCCCCCCTGTTGGGGCGCGGTGCCGTCCCAGGGGGGGCGCGAAGCTCTTTCAAAAATATGGTTGTTAAATGCTGAGTAAGTGTCAAAAACAAATCAGCAAAATGTACGAGGTCTGTTCAAAAAGTACCCGGAATTTTCGTTTTTTTCAAAAAAATATTCGTCTACATTAATGTGGTCCCCTTCAAAGTAGTCCCCCCCAGATATAATACACTTATGCCAGCGTTTTTTCCAATTTTCGAAGCACCCTTGATATTCACTTTTTGATATGTCCTTGAGCACTCTCAGCGATTTTCTTCAATCGAGGAAAACCGCCGTCCTTTCATGGGTCTCTTCAACTTTGGGAATAGGAAAAAGTCACACGGAGCCATATCTGGTGAATTTTTGCACTTTGCAACACTTTATTTCATTTTTTACGCAAAATTTAATACAAATTCTTTGACTTTTCAATTCTTCCATTGTAAAAATCGCCGAGCTCAGAAAAACACGTCGAACCTTAGCGACTACCACAGACAAAGTAAACAGTGAATATAGCTGAAAATTTCATCATACTTTAGGGGCATGTATACCAACACAATAAAAAAAAAATTTGACAATCAGACACTCCAGACCCGCGAAATTTAATTATTAGTAATTCCGGGTACTTTTTGAACACACCTCGTATGCAAGTAATCTACAATTTTCGCTGCAATTTTGTCAGGACAAATGTAAAAGCATGAATATACTATACTTTTGGTGCATTCAAAATATTTCGTTTTTGCGTTTGTAGTTGAGTGAGCTGTAGGCCTATAAACAAAAGATAAACACTCGGATCATATCGAATATTCACGTGCTTACTCGAGACCAACTTAAGTAAATAAACAAAAGCATCCTTTTTATTCTGTTATCTATAAATCGAATTAGTTCATTAGTTGTGCTGGAGATACACGCGTTGATATATAGAGAAAATCATTTCTAAATTATTATTGAGTTAAAATTTATAGCTTTAGTTTTAGTACATTATTAGCCAGGAATTATTGTGAAAAGTAGTGAAAAAGTGATTTTCTTTGATTTGTTATAAAAACCGTTTGTAATGGATAAATACGTGACTGGGTTGAAAAGAAAGTTTAATGAAGCAGAAGAAGAGGATTGTGAAAATAATGGAAATGTTTCTTCACAAAATAGTAAAACTAAACATAGAAAATATGATCCAATGTACTTATCATTGGGATTTACGTATAAGATCATTAATGGTCAAGAACGACCAATGTGTTTGCTGTGTATGAATACTTTGGCCTCAGATAGCATGAAACCAAGTAAATTAAAACGACATCTGGAAAAAGTGCACGCCGATCATGTTGGCAAAACAAAAGAATTTTTCCAAAGAAAATTAGATAACTTAAATAAACAGAAAGAATCGTTTTCAAAAGCTTTGTCTGTATCACAAAAAGCGTTACTTGCGTCATACAAAGTTTCGTATAGAATTGCTAAATGCAAAAAACCCCATTCAATAGGAGAAACTTTAGTACTACCAGCAGCTATTGACATAATAGCTACGATGTTTGGTGAATCATATGCTGATCAAATTAAAAGCATTCCGCTGGCAGATAATACGGTGGGAAGACGAATATCAGATATATCTGATGATCTTTGCGATCAGTTGATAGAAAAAATTAAATTATCTTCTTTCGCGTTGCAAGTAGATGAGGCTACCGATGTTGCTAAGGATGCACACTTAATAACATATATAAGATATGTTATGGAAAATGATATTAGAGAAGAGTTGTTATTCTGTAAGACAATTGAAGGCAAAGCTACGGCGAGTGAAATTTTTAATATGATTGATAACTTTTTTATTGAAAATGGTATTTTATGGGAGAACTGTGTTGGACTGTGCAATGATGGAGCTCCATCTATGGCAGGAAAAAATGCTGGTCTGCAGGCCCTAGTTCGAAAAGTGGCTCCTCGTGCAGTTTGGACGCATTGTATGATTCATAGGCAATCTCTTGTTGCAAGAAATATGGGTGAAGAATTACTTGAAGTATTTGAAATTATAATAAAAGTTGTTAATTTTATCAAAAATAGTCCATTAAGAGAAAGGCTTTTTGGAAAATTGTGTGATGACATGGGCTCAGAATACAAAGCACTACTTTATTATTGTGAAGCACGTTGGCTTTCTCGTGCTAAAGTACTTCAAAGGGTGTTTGAGCTCAAAAAAGAAATTGCCATTTTTCTTGCTGATAATAAAAGAGATGAAGCAGACATATTTTATGACACGAAGTTTCTCGCAAAATGAGCGTATCTAGTTGACATTTTTAAAAGACTAAGTGATTTAAATAAATCAATGCAAGGAACTCAAATTCATGCTTTTGTTCAAAAGGACAAGATTACGGCGTTTATGAAAAAAATAGAGCTGTGGATAGCTAGTATGAAAAGTAATAACTTTGATATGTTTCTTTCTTTTAAAACTACATGTGTTACTGATGATGAAATAGAAGCAAGTAAAGATCTTATTATCAATCATATGACTAGTTTAAGGAACCAATTTGCGCATTACTTCAAAGATCTAGATATGTCCAAATACGAATGGATTAGAAATCCATTTGTTATTGATAAATATGATAATTTTGGACTTCCAACGGCAGAGCAGGAAATGATAATTGATTTATCTAGTGATAGCACATTGAAGCAGATGTTTCAGGACGAAAAGAATATTGTTAAGTTTTGGTTACAAGTAAAGGACGATTTTCCAACTTTGACAAATAAAGCCTTAGAAATTTTATTACCATTTGTGACATCCTACTTATGTGAAACTGGTTTTTCTGCAGTAGCAGTATTAAAAACAAAGTACCGATCTCGTTTAGTGATAGAAAAGGAACTGAGAACAGCAATTTCTACAATGGAGCCGCGGTTTGAGAAAATTTGTGCTGAAAAACAAGCTCAACCGTCGCATTAATTTTTTAATATTGTGTGAAATATTATATCATTTGTTTTTATTAAATTTAAAATTATTTTTTTCCTATAATCCATAGTTATGTTTGTATGTATATTTTTGTATGATTATTTTTGTATGTATGTATATTGTGCATTATTTAGTACGAGATTGAATAAATCATAATTTCAATTAAGTATATTTAAATTAAATTGTTAAAAAAATTAGGGGGGGGCGCAATATTTTTTTCTTTCAAAAGGGGGGCGCAAGGAAAAAAAGGTTGGAAACCGCTGGTCTAATGGTTAAACATTATAAATCTTGGTACCGAGCCCACAGAAATATAAACCAAACTCATACTTGTTATTAAAATTTCTATAAAATATCTAATAATTTACGTCTAATGATCATTTTTGATCGCAAAAAGGCGTTTGTTTATTTTTTTTATTGGATTTCCGAAACCACTAGACGTGCCTTCACAAAAATTTTATCAATTCTTCACTTTGTCAATACAAGTAAAATGTTTTTTGAATCATTGAAATCGGACGCTTTGTTCTCTCAAAAACTGAATTATCATTTTTTGCACTGTATATGAAACGGCTGCCTTGCCCCATCAGTAGAAATCGAATGTTTTTTTTAATCATTCAGTCGGTTGAACCGTTTTCTTGAAATCGTGGACGAAATATTGTGTCCGCACATACATGCACACACACACACATACATATATCTATTTTTTCTAAAAATTTCAATTAAAACATAAAGATATATAAAAATTTTCATTTTCTATTTTTTGCATTTAGTATAAGTTACACTACGAGAAGTTAATTATTATTTTAAATACAGTGTAGTCTTGAAATTATTATGAATTTTCAATGTTAGTTGTTTAGTTTGGTACTGGTACTCTAATAAAGTTCTTTCATTTTTCTCTGATTTTTTAATCAAATTGTGTACATTATTGCAGGAATAAATAATAAATATACAGAATTATTTTTAATATTAAGGAAATTTAACTGATAATTATTGTCTTTTACTATATTTGAAGTGAATTATATATTAATATGAAACATATTTTAGGAATGAAGAGATTGTGATGCCTGCAGAACAAACAGGATTAGTTCGTGAAAATTATCTTTGGAAAGTCTTATTACGCAGAGGGGCATCTTCCGATGGTGTATTTCATCATGTACCACATAATTCCTATGACAAAGAATTGTTTCGACTAATTTGGGGCCCAACTGTATGCATACCCGAATATAATTCTATTGTCCAGTTTTTTTTAAATGAAAATTATTATGCATTTTCAGATCTCAGCATTGAGTTTTGTTTTTGATAAAAGCAATGATTCTGCTATCCATGAAAGGGCAATAGAAGGATTCAAGAAATGTGCCAATGTTGTAGCTCATTATAATATGACTGCTGAATATGATACATTAATTCTCACCTTGTGTAAATTCACTACATTAATGTCGCTATCAGAATCTAATGATAGTCTGAATATTACTTTTGGACAAAATTTAAAGGCACAGCTTGCAGCAAAAACTGTATTTTATTTAGTTCATTCACATGGTGATATAATTAGAGATGGATGGAAAAATATTTTGGATATTATTTCGCAATTATTTAAAGCAAAGTTGCTACCAAAAGTACTTAAATATTTCAATATGTAAGATATATTCTTTTACTCGAATCACATTTTGATTATTTCTAGGTTTTGACTGAAGCAGATGATTTTTGTGAACCGTCTGGAAAGATTTCACTTATAAGAGAAATTACACCTGCACCAAAAAGTGAAATTGGTCTCTTTAGCAGTATTTATTCTTATATTGCACTATCTTCTGAAACAGCAAATCAACGCATTCCAACGCAGGAAGAGCAGGAATATATTAAGATAGCTAAGTTGTGTATTAAAGAATGTTGTCTTGAACAACTCATTATTGACTCTAAGTTTTTGCAAAGTGAAGCTTTATACGGATTAATCCAAGGTTTAATTGCAACATCTAAAGGTCCAGATGGTCATAAATCTCTAGGAATGTCTTATAATGAAGATGCATCTGTATTTTTCTTTGAGCTTTTGATTAAAGTCGTTATTCAAAACCGAGATCGTATAACAGCTCTTTGGAGTTATGCTAGAGATCATTTATATATGCTCATTATGAGTGCTTCCAGCTGCGATTACCCATATCTATTAACAAGAGCTGTAACAGGATTATTACGTTTAGCTAGTTGTCTAATGAGAAATGAGGAGATGGCTCCTATGATTTTAGATTCATTACGAATGCTTTTATTATTAAAACCAACATTACTTTTCCGGATTTCGAAACATATATCTACTGGTCTGTTCGAATTATTGAAAACCAGCGCTCAAAATATTCACACAGAGTCAGATTGGGATGTTATATTTACTTTGTTGGAATGTGTTGGAGCAGGAGCTATTCCACCAAAAATTGGAGATGATCAAAATTGGGAGCGAGGTGCAAAATCAGATGGTGCTCTTAGTAGTGAAGAAGATAATTGTGTTTCCGATAGAGGTTATACCTCAGATTCTGAATTATCCAAAAATTCAACAAAACCATCTCCAGATACTCCTAAACAAACTTCTAGTGAAGAAAATTGGGCTATTATAAACAAAGATCAAATTCCTCCTACATCAGAAATAAAAAATAGCAACATAGTCAATGCAGAACTAAATGTGCGCTTGCTACCGCATTCTCCTGATGCTCTAGTGAAATGTTGGGAATGCTTAGCATTCATTGTTAGAGATGTAGCGCATATCACACCATACAATTTTCAGAGTTGCATTCGCTGTATTCGAACATTTGTGGAAGCAACGTTACATGGAAGTATTAGGAAGAAATTTAAAGGGTTAAATAAAGATGCAAGAAGAAAGAAAGCTAACTTACGTAAAAGAGAAAATGATATTAATAGTAAAAAGGTGAATAAATGTGATGATAGCGATTCTGATGATCTGCCAGAAGGTTACCAATTCATTGCAATTCAATTATTGGATTTAATGCATACTCTTCATACCAGGACAGCACATATATTTAGGTGGTGGGCTGAAGAAGGAGCTGATCCTCCCGTGATGTCCTTATGGGCACATGGTTGGAAACCACTACTGCAAGGAATTGCCCGACTATGCTGTGATAATAGAATTGAAGTAAGTTTTTAATAATTTAACTTTGCATGGCATATTATATATATATATATATATATATATATATATATATAATTTGTACATTATAGGTTCGCTCGAGCGCTATCAACTATCTGCATCGTGCTCTTCTTATGCATGATTTACAAATGCTTACTGCTACTGAGTGGGAAAACTGTTTCAATGTAGTTTTGTTTCCACTTCTCGGTGAACTTTTATGTCCAACACAGTCACAATTATTGAACAAAAGTGATACAGAAGAATCAAGAATAAGAGCATCTACAATTATGTCAAAAGTATTTTTGCACCATCTTACACCACTTTTAACGTTGAGTACATTTTCAAGTTTATGGATGTCAATTTTGGATTTCATGGATAGGTATATGACGTCGGGTAGTGATTTACTCTATGAAGCAATTTTAGAGTCACTTAAAAATATGTTGCTTGTCATGCATTCTGTAAAGGTAAGCTTTTCATAATAGTTCATATTCAATTAAAATGGTATCATATTCTATAAACAAACTATGCTAAAGAGATACACTTTTATAATTTAGGTTAGTGAAGTGGTTTTTGATATTTTTTTTCTATAATTAATTTTTTAGGCATTCACCTCCACGCAAGGATATTCTGAGCTTTGGACAATTACTTGGGACAGAATTAATAAGTTTTTGCCTAATTTAAAAGAAGAAATATTTAAAGAAGAAAATATGTGTAAATCAACAAACAATCAGGAGGAACATTCTAATCAAACAATAAATAAACCTATGCCAAATATTCAATTAGAAAATAAATTACAAGAAAATGAACACAGATATATTCAAAGCCCTACTATGCTTTCACCTCTATTTACAAATATGACACACACTGTTTCTACACCAATTGGCATTCCTGATCTTAATCAGGATTTTTCTAAACATAATTCCAATAGAGCAGAAGCTGTTCTTTCCAAGCCACTAGTGGGAAATGATATGGTTAATTACATTATTCAGCAGCACTCTCCAGATGCACAAGCATGTCCTTCTGATGTCCAAATGTCAATAAATAAAGACTTTATAACTGAAATACCACAACAAACTGAATATCAAAATTATTTACTGAATGCAATTGGCCCGAACTTCACTGATAATGCGATAGTTTGCCAAACCAAAGTGTCAGAATCTTTACAAAATTATTCATTGATATCTGAAAATCTTAATAAGGCATGTTTTGATATCGACAATCAAGCTAATAATTACGAGAAATTTACTGCAGACTGTTTTCATATTCCTAATAGTCCAGTTACAGAATCTTCTGCATCCACCCTGCCAACTTCTCAACTATCAAATTATTTTTCAGAAGGAATTACGATTCCTCCTGGAACTGAGTTTTTCTATAGTGCCAATAGTAAATCTTAAACATAATTTTCATAAATGTTACAAAAGTTGAGTAATGAGTGAGTTTCGTTTAATAAAACAAGAACAATGATGTTATAGGTTTTTATATTTTTAAACGTGAATGTAAATAAATGAGAATATTGTGTATATTTGTAATGTACACACAAATATAAATATATAAAAATATATAGATTTATTATGAAGTCTGTTATACAAAAACTTAATCTTTTTGTCTTTTCTAAAATATTTTCTAATTTATTATATATATATATATATATATATATATATATATATATACTAGCTGACCCGGCAAACGTTGTTTTTGCATCAAAAATATTTTGCTGCTTTGCAGAAGTTCTTATAATATACATGATATATTAATAATAATGTTATATTTTTATTACACAAATTTCTTTACATTTCGATTTTTTCGAATTAATTCCAATGCATCATAGTGTTTTGTTTATTTTAATTTTATTTATGTCAAATAGTGAAATTTTTTTTTATATTAATATATATAGAGGTCCTGACCTATGATTTGTTCAAATCGTGGCACGCCTGCCAAGTAATCTTGAACTAAAAAAACTCCTTGTTGGAAATAATACAAATAGTGTATTCATATTCATATATTTAATCATTTTAAATTTCACAATGATGTAAACTGCATAATTACTACTGCATTTGAATCAATTTACTTTCAACGAGTATAATTGCGCGTGTTACTGCTAACAGGCTTAATTCTGTACAGGTTTAAGGATGTTAAAAACAAAAACATAAAAAATGAAAAATAAACAAGATTTATTCAATATATGATAACTTAATATTTACGTTATATACTGATAAATTGTTCAATCAATCAAACTCGAGTTTAATACTTTGGCCACCACTAGCCAATCATAGATAAAAGAGAAGTATATTAGTAGTCAATATTAGTCTCTCTAAAGCACTACTTATAATTTGAAAACATTAGATTAGTAAGTTTTTTTTTTACTCTTTCATAGATGAGTAGGATATAATTTTTTTTATATTCTTATCTAAATATATGGTAAAATATTTATTAAGATATCTAAAATAATTATATTAATTTATTTTTTTGATTATGGTAAATAATAAAATGTTTAAAAGTAAGTTTAATTAAATTAATTAACAATGAGTTTAAGAAAATACCAGATTTATTAAAAAGGTATATTTTTTTAGTTTATATTTATAATAGTCAAATGCCTTATTTATTTAGAATTTTATAAATATAAAATACGTCTACAAACAATTCATTTTACTGTATGCGCAACTTATTCATATTATTGTGGGCGTTTCTTACCATAGTAGGTGTGGTCAAGTTTAATTTTTTTCCGTATATTACTGTTATAATATTATGTTATATAATATATTTATTTGTTTGCATTGGATTTCATGGCATTATATAGTGTAAAAACAATTTATGAAGTTACTTTCAAAATTAATTAATTAATTAATCTAGTTAAAGTATTTCATATATGATCCTATACCTGCTTTTTTACCTTTACCTGGTCCTTTTCCTTTGCCGTTAGCCAATGATGATATCTAATAAAAGGTAATGATACTAATAAAAGTAGTAAAACAAGAGTAGAATTTAATAGAAATAAACCGCATGTTAGGATACCAGCGGGTTTAAACCATTTATAGTTACAATCATAGATAAAAGAAGAGTGGTTACAATGTTTATTTATCTATGGTTACAATTGCATTTGCCGTTAGGTGGCAATCGCGTCAATCAAAATCCAATTATAGTTTGGTGGAGACGCGGCTTGTACAAAGCCATCTATGCTTCGTATCGCGCAGTTCAATTTGACAGTCTAATCTTTTTAGATGGCTGTGCGTCTATTTTGCTTTTGTTGCTTTTTGTTGAGATGCTTGAGACGGACATGGTCTGTACATTTAAGTCAGAGTGTAGCAAACTTTAAAAATTATTTCATATAAATGTTTCTGTACTGTAAATTATCTAAAAATGTCTTTTTTGCTGTTCTATAGAAATGTGTACATATTTTATTTGTAAACGTATGAGTTGTGCTATCATAAATTGTTCGTAACTGAACTTTCTATGTATTGTCAATTGTAATAATAACATATATTATGTTTGTGCCGTGCTCAGTTCTTTCTTGTGATGAATTATATATATTTTGAATTTTGATAAATTATAATGGAGGTTGATGTGACACAAATTGCACAAAATGATAAGGCTCAAGAACATAATAGCACTGATAAAGAGCTGCCAGAACAAACTTCTATCAGTGTTGTAAATAGTTTCGAAGATGTTACATTAAATGATTCTTCGTGTTCTTACGAGAATAATATGACAAGTGCTTTGAATAGACATTCGAATAATAAAAAAGTTATAAAACATTCTCTGAGGCAACAAGCAAAACGTCATAAGAAAAACAGCCAGTCAGGTTCTCTTCCATCCCTGTCCAGGATAATAGTTAAGCAATATTCCCAATCACCGATAGAAAATAAAGAGCAATCTTTAAGTAACACAGCCCCAACCATGCATGAAGTATTAGCTTCGATACCGGGCTTTAGTATTAAACCCAGAAGGAGAAGTAATAAGAAAATGTCAGCAGCAGCGCAATTAGAACAAACAAAAGAGGGCTGTATAGATTTAGAGACACCTGATTCAATTTTAGTTAACACAAATCTCAGACTTCTACTTAATAAGCACACATTCTCCAGTTTACCTCCTCTGTATCAATATAAGCTAGTTCAACTTCTACCCAGCGTGGATAGGCCTTCATATGAGCCTGAGACTTGTACAAGGCTCAGTTCATCTAGTTTAAATAATGAATTCTTTGCTAGAGCTTGTTTAGAATGGCGTGATAGATTAGCAGAAGGTGAGTTTACTCCAGAAAATCAGCTAAAAATAAAATCAGAAGCCGAAAAAGAGAAAAGCAAATTGGATCCGTGGAAAGTCAAGCATTTTGAGCCAATTTGGGGTGATAAATGCCAAGGAGATACAATTACCGAGGCTGCATTACCAGTGTGTAACAGACCTCCTATAAAAACTACAATTAAATTACGAGCATCATCTTCAAATAGTAGTGCAAGTTGTATGAAATATGGTAAGAATTCATCAACCATTACACAAAGGCTTAGAACTGTAGGAGCCGTAACCAGAGCTTCGGCTAGCTTACAATATGATAGACTCAATGTGGATAATGCCGTTGATGACAAGGTATCAAATTTTATACAAAACGTCTCACCTCTGTATCATAAATCTGTACTCCCTGAAACCAAGGAATCTTGTTTCAATAAAGTTGTACCAGAGTCAATATCCAAAACTGTGCATATGAACTCTCCAGTTATTGATACAGATATAATTGTTCCTGATCAACTGGACATGTTTACTCACAATAATATTGATAATGAATGTGATGTAACCCGAAGGAAATCAGGTGAAAAACGACCGCGGTCTTTAAGTCCAAACTATAACAATAAACAACAAAAATCAAGCCATAGTGAGGTGTCTGAAGATACAAATGAATTTGTACTTCCAAAAATTGAATGTGATACTGAAATTGCTGATACTCAAGTAGAGGTTGTGACGACAGAAGAATCTGAAAGTTCTTCTAAAACGGATGACGATAACAAGACAATTAATGATTTTACCAATAATGAATCTGTAAGTAATGAAACTATTGACAATGTCAGTGAAGATGTTATTTCAAATGAGCCTAAACTTGAAATGGACGAACTTAAAATAGAAGAAATGGATGATGAAAATACTTTCTTTAGTATTGAATCTAGTGATACATATAATGGTGTACTGCAAATACAACCCAGTTCAGTGATACTCCATCAACATACTCCAGACGATGAAGGTAATCAAGAAGAAATAAAGGAAGATGATAATGTCGTATTGCATTTTAATGATAATGGCCATCACAATCGATATGTTGACAATTTTGGATCTGATTCACGGGATGAAAAAAGCAGAGATGAAGTAGATGACATTAATAATGTGATAGATAATGATCATATAATGCTGAATGAATTCAGAGAGGATAATTCTGATTCATTTGTTTCACAAGGTATGTTATTTAGTTGTAAAATGTATAACTTTTTTTTAAAGCACGTCTAAATAGCATTTAACTAAGCTTTTACCATACATATACAGAGACAAAACCAAGATTGTCTTAAACATATGTATATATATATATATATATATATATATCAAATGTTAAATATGAACAATACAACACTCAGATTTTTAACACACACTTTATTTGGTAATTACAGACGTTTCGAGACCATGGTATGCCTCATCTTCAGTGTAATTTCAAAAACAGTTACTTATATACTACACATTTTTTAATATTTTATTTAAATTACATTTAATAAAATATTAAAGAATGTGTAGTATATTAGTAACTGTTTTTAAAATTACACTGAAGATGAGGCATACCAAGGTCTCGAAACGTGTGTGATTACCAAATAAAGTGGGCGTTAAAAATCTTAGTGTTGTATTGTTCATATTTAACATTTAATATTTGTTCCACTCATATCACAAAATTCTATAATATATATATATCAATTTGCCATTTGAGTCATTTATGAGAACATATCCCGATTTCACACTTTGATTTTTTAAGACAGAACTAAAGTATGTATATAATGTTTGCAAAATTAGGTGAAGATGATACAAATATGGAATATGGAAGCTCTCTTTAATATAGTTTGATTAAGTCGACAATTTGATAAATCTCGAGCTGGTAATAAGTCATATTGGCATGTCTCAATGAAATTCTAATTAGTAATGAATTTATAATTAGATAAATATTTTTACCATTATTTAAAAGAATTGATATATTTTAGTGTGTATGTCGTGCACAAAATTTTTATTATATGTTAAGAAATGCTTTGAATTAGTTAATGATTTTTAAGATATCAGAACTGATCAGAATCAGTTATAAAAAGAAATTGATTATATTTATATTATAGCTAACATTTATTAATCATTAATATAATTGTGAACAACTATACTGGGAGGGATAATTTTATTAAATGTATTTTGTTCAGGAATACTAAAATACATATCCTCTTATTGTTAGTATAATAACTATAGCACATGATAGGGTAAACCTAGAAATACTCTTGGGTTATATTCTTCATATTGTAACGGATTAAATGGGTTGACGTCCCTTTTTGGGGTATTGCAAGGACTGCCACTTATTATATTTTAGCATTGCACTCCCCATTACGAAAGCCTTTACTTCAACCTTTCAACCCGATTTCTATGAATACCCTGTAATTACCTGTGGAGACTAATATAGCTAACTACACGAATGAAGCAGAATGTACTTACTATTTTATTCAATATGCGTGAGGATTACAGGTGTGAGGGCATGACTGTATCTAGGTACAGTCATGTCTTATTTCTAAACTTTTATGTACTAAATCATCTTCAATTATGAGCTAATTAACAAACTGACGGAGTGACGGACTAACGAATGGAATAGCTAATAAACAATACAATCTGATATTTGCTGGAACGGTTCTTCTCTTCTAGCACAACACACACCACTATACACTAAGTGGGTCCAAGGGCTCGCACCTGGACCCGACCGACCTCCTCGGAAGGTGCTACATTTCTTAATGACTCTTTTTTAACTCTCGAGTTGGATCTTATATTGCAGGAACCTTAGTAGAGGTGGGTGGGGGTGCATTTTGCACTGATGTTACAGTATTAGTTGAGCGCACTGAACACTAGGCATTCGATGATTTAAATAATGTATTATAAGAACATTTATTATTTTTAACATTTGTTCTCAATTATAATATGGGCCGGCCGTGGTCCCGTGGTAAGAACGTGGGCTATCAGATCCTAGTCCCGGGTTCGAATCCAACCTCGGTCGGTTCGGTATCAAAGCAGCTTGATACCAGATTATCACTTGAAATCATAGATTTCAAATATAATTTCAAGTGAAAATGGCCTTTCGTGGGCATAGCTGTAGTGGCAACATGCCAGTTGGAAGTAAAAAGTCATCACTATTACAACAATTGTAATAATTCAGCACATAGAGATGGGACAACTGTTTGGGTTGCCATCTATAATAATTGTAAGATAATTCATCACAACAGCTCATAGAACTCATAAGTTCTGATCGCTGTTAAAAATTAAAAAAAAAAAATATATATATAATATTATATTTTTGTAATCGTTGAAAACATTGTTTTCATTGCATTTATCAATGCATTTATTATCAATTGTCTTTTTATTTATGCAATTCCATGATTTCGGAATCGTTAACATTCGGTTTCTAATAAACCGAAGAATATTACCTGGCAATTTCTGTTGGCGGAATAAAAGCTGGGAGTTTTACTGAAAATAGACAGCTGGGAGTTTTACTGAACATAGACAGATAGTTATTTATTTGATTTGTGTTTTTTGTTATTATATAATTTGTTTACATTTCACAATATGATTGTTTAAAGTCAAATCTGATTTTTGTGCCCCGCCCTACTCTTCTATATATATAGATTATGGTCAGATTATTTTATAGTATTATTAGTAGCTGAAATATTAGGTAAAGTAAAAAGTTCGTAGCATTTATTTAGTGAAATTCAACAAGTTTTTTTTATAGCGTGAAAATATATTTATTCAAACGAAATATGTTCCATTATTATCGACAATGTTTTGCCAACTTCTATGGTTTCTGGTTGAAAAATTCAATCCAATGGTTTTTACAAGCTTGTTTTGAAATTAGTTGAATTCCATTAAGATAGTTCTGCAGAAATCAGAACAAGGGTTGCTATGTCAATTAAGCTTTTGCAACTCCCAGCTTTCGGCTGATCATCAAAAAAGTGTATGGTGGGTCATTGTCATGATGGAAGACAATATTTTCAATTCAGACTGTTTTCTTTTAATTGTTTGGCGTAATCCTTCTAATTATTTGCAGTAGGGTTGAGAATTAATCGTCTCTAAACGATTGACGACTACCATCCAGTCCCACTACAATCACAGCATCACCTGTTTCAGTGTCAATCGTTTCCTGACTTGTAAACGATTGTGATCGTTCATCATCACTGTGATCTATTCTTTATCACCAGTCATAAAATTTTTCGGAAATGGTTCGATTTCATTGCATGAAGGCCCCATACATCGAACTTTTTTTTTTGTGGACAACTTTCTGTAATTCGTTCAAAACAGTTTTCTGGTCAATGGCTACTTCCATACCAATGTCGACAGTGCTGATGTACTAATCTTGCTGGACTTTCTTCGTGATTTTGTTAACTTTTTTAGTGATTGGACGAGCGGTACGTGGTACATTCACGCAAAATTACCAGAACGAAAGCGAGCAAACCATTTCCGAGCAGCAGATTTTTCAAAACATAGCGCAGTTTTTTATTATTTTTACCCATTTTTGAACGCAAATAATTTTCAGGCTTATTTTCATCTTCCAAAATAAAGATGACATAAAAATTCTAAGTACATTTTGCTTCTTTATAATGAACCGGACTACATGGATTATGTCCATAAATTTCTATTTCGTATTACGTTACCGATATTCTTTCAGCATTAATGTTTTCCATTGTGTTCCATTCCATTTTTGCCATAGCAATAGAATATTTCCCTGCCATCGTATAATTAAATTAAAAGTATATCGCTAACAAAGCTATATTAGTCGTTTAGCTTTTTTGCAATAATCTTTTGTTTATAGTAATGACGAGCTGCTTTGATTCTTATAAACTATATCAGATGTCTCTCAAGTGAGGCCCGTAGGTAAGCTGTTAAGAGCGATGGGACCTGAATCAGAGGTCCCGGGTTCGATACCCACTTCGAGCAGCCTGTTGTCAGGCAGCAGTGACAACGATTTTCACTTGGAAATATAGATAGTAATATGTTTCCAAGTGAAAATAGCCCTTGCCCGGCATTGCTGCACCAATAAAAAAAATACTCGCTCTATTACAGAAATTGTAATAATAATATATCAAACAGAGATGTGACAACTGATTGGGTTGCCGTCTGTCAAACAGACTAGTATTAAGTCAAACCAGCACAACAGCTTATAGTAAATAATAAAAAATAATAAAAAAAAGTAAATAAAATAAATTCGAACTTTTATTTTCAATTTCACGAAAAATAACAAAAATTATGTAAACGAAGGAACAAGTGCTAATTTTTTCAAGTAATTTATGAAGAAAATAAAACAGAATTTTAAACAAGATACAAAAGCGAAAAAAAACATATATGTCGATTGAAAAATATAATATATAATATAACATCATAGGTCAACGAAGAATATAACATATAGTCGAATGATACAGTTCTTACTAAAAGCCCGTAGTTCTGATTAAAAAAAAGATTCATTAATAAAACTTTTATTGTATCCTTAAATAGTATGTGCTATTTTACATACTTCCCGTCCCGGATTAACATTATTAAAATTGCCGTCCCGATTTTGACTTAAAACAATATGGTCACATTAAGTAAATGGCAAAGATTTATAAATTAATCTTTAATTTTCCAAACGCGTCGACATAAAATTTTATGTCATCATAAGTGGATATTCGACTTGGGGTTTTACATCAATGTGTATAATGCACATAAGTTAGCACTAACATTTTTACATTAATTTGTCATGAACAGAAAGATTTTTTTGTTTTATGTAGAATAATGGAATATAGGAGAGTTGTGTAACAAATGCAGGTAAAATTCAAAATATTTTTGCAAGAGAAATTTTCTTTTGAGCTTCGGAGCCATTAGTAAATACAAGTGATCTTGCAAAAATTATTATATAGAATTTAGTAAAATAATTTATTTTAATTCATTAGAAGTGATCCCTTTTTAATTACCCTTAATATAATTTACTGATTAGGTAAATTAACCTGAAGTTAATAACTATTAAGTAGATTAACTTTAGTGTGTTATTATAATATATAGTGATACCCTGCATTACGTACTTAATTCGTTCCGGGAGTAAGTTTGCGATGCAAAAAGTTCGCTATGTGAAACGCGTTTTTCCATACAAACACATGAAAATAAAATTAATTCGTTCTGTAGTTTGAAATGTGGTCATGGAAAATAAGATTTACATATAATTAAGTCATTTAAAAAAATGATTTACGAAATACGTTATTATCAAATAACTTATTGCTTCCTTTTTTGAATTTTTTGCTTCTGAATTTTTAAAGAAACTGTTCTTTTTCAAGAAGTATATTTTCGCAGCGGAACAAAAATTTCCAAGGTCTACTCTTTGAATTAATTTGAACAACATATGTTTTTTTACTACAAATGACAAGGATGTAGTACGTTGTGTGAAGCAAAGTTCGTTGTGCGGAACGTTCGCGACTGAAAAAAAAGTTCGTTATGCACATCGTCTATTGTGCGAGGCGTACGTTATGCAGGGTATCGCTGTAGTATCCAAGTGTACAAAGGCTTCTTGCAACCACATATTTCCAATATTTCATTTGATATCGTAAGTGGTTTTATTGTTTTGCTCCATTGAAATGCAACATCCCTATGGCCGTGCAATACGTTTATTTTTGATAGCATTTTCCCAAGAATTAATGCCGTTTGAATTGCGCATAATGAAAATCGACTTTCAAAAATCCCTCTGTACAACAGTCTTGCAACTTCACGGGAGAAGCGCCGCCAAAACATTTTGGTAACGTTTACCAGTCACGCGATTTGAGAGACATTTTTGAATAGACCCGATATACCAATTTTCAATTAAGAAGATATTTTCAAAGATATGCGAAAATCAACCTTTTTTTAATCTCGGCGTTTGTCGTAACCGAGAAAGATGCCAAACAAAAATTGGCGTGCTTGCATTCACATTGAGCCAGACTATATTATTTATAATAACTAATATCAAATAATTGTTAGCAATTAAGAATTTTTTTTTTTAATTTGGAAGCATTTAAGCCCCTGGGAGCAATAAAATTCGAAAATGTCCATATTAAGGACTACTCATATATATTAATAAATTATGTATTTCTTACGATATTTAATATCATGATAAGCGCTTTTATCGATCATGTACTATGCTTGCTAAAGAATTTTAATTAATATTTGAACAAGACATGCCCAGAATTACATTTATACGTGCATAAATAAAAAATAATTTATAATAATATTTTTCTAACAGTATTTCTTTGAAAATCATTCTTGTCTCGTATGAAATTGTAATGTAAGACATTCTCTAAGTTTGTGTAATGTAAGACATCTTCATGCTTTTGCATGATGATAATTATAAATTAGAATAAACAACCACACTGCCCGAAATTACTAATTTAAAACAATATTTTAGCTTGTCTAAGCACTCTGAAACAAAAAGTTATTTAACTTTAGTTGTTATAAATAATTTAGTACACAGAACTATGAATTTAACCTGGTCTTTTTTTATTGCGTACTGTTACTACAAAAAATGAGGCTGAAAAAAGGACAACTTTCCCCTATTTTCAATGATATCTCGGCTACATGTTGAGCCGAAAAAATAGTTGAAAATGTTTTTTTTTGCGAAAATACCTTTTGCACATTAGCTTTACTTACAACATACTCATTTTATTCAAATGCCTTTGACTGAATAAACTCGGTGAAACTTATTATAATATGGTGTCGGTTTTGATTTACAGGATCTTGATCTTGATTTAAAAACTGGTTAAACAATTACTAAATCTTATAGTAAAATTATTTAGCAGGATATGTTTATTGAAATCTGTGTCCAATGTATTGATACGATGTTATGATTCGTAGCCCTGGAGACCCTTCCAGTTAATGTACCTGTTGCAATGGCAGTTGTCAATGCAGAAATAACCCAGGATGATGTTGAGGTAACTCAAGATAGATGCACTGGCATGAAATCAATTTTCTTAAATTTATTTTATTGCTATAGAACGCACGTTTAGTTCATCAGAATTGTATATTTTTATTGATCTTGTTTATTTATTTTAAATAGAAAAAGAACATCAAACGAATACCGGAGTGAAGATTCTATATAATTTCAATATTAATCCTTTAATACATTTCGAGAGAAAATTATTAGTAATTTTACATGAATTCATATTAAATATTGAAAGTTTTTGTATCTAATTCTATTTTACATAAATGTAAATAATTCATTTTAATCATCCACTAATAAAATTTATATTTATTCCTCAATGTTGTTTTTGTACGATTTTTTAACATATATGATTAGGAGTACTTAATTAGGTACTAATATATCTGATACAGTATTATGTAATCGTACTATTGTTAGTGTTCTACCAGCGAAACAGATATTTCTAAAACATATCGTTCATTGATAACGAAATACAAAAATTCGTTCACATAGTTTTTGCACGATAAATGTTTAGTATATGTATCAAGCCGTAAATCATTTTTTGATTTTTGTTTGTTATTATTTCATATCCGGCACTCGAGAAGTCGTCGATAAAAATGTTCGCTCTTTTCGTGTTTTCGCATACCTAATAGTATAAATAATAATACATTGGAATTTCAAGACCAAAACATGTCATTCTATAAAGCATGTGCATTTATTAAAACGTAACCTCATATTTGAAATCATTATAATTATAGTTTAACTCGAAATATTTAATGTGCTTTTTCTAAAAAAAAATCTTGTTTAACCTTACTTTGTAATATGCAGACTGCAGAATATTTGTTGGTTAATAATAAAATTTTATTTTTTCAGGAATCAATTTGAATTTAATTCATTCATTATCAGCTATAATTTTATTTATTATTTTTGATTAAAATTACTTTAAACAATTATTCTTAGTTAATTTGTTTTATTATTTTAATAATAGTGTATAGTATCTGAATGAATAACAATATTGAATATTTGTGGTCATTGTCGTGTATACGCATAATGGGTTTATTGAATTAACGTTGGTGTTTATAATTTATTGTTGTTATTAACCGTTGTTCATTATTTATGTATATATTAATCTATTGATAAGGCATTTGTTATTTAGTGCTTTGCTTTAGAAACGATTCATTACAGGAATGAATTTATGTATATATAGCACTAACCAATACTAGTATTCTATTCCCGTAGAAATAATAATTGAACATCTTGAGAATTTACATGTACTAATGATATATTACAAATGTAATATTATAGTAAATATTCAAATATAAACGAATGCACTTCTGATATTATATAAGGTGTTTTAATTATACTTCAAGTAAAAATATTGTTATATATTTTTGATTATTATTTAAATAATAAATGAAATCTTCGTTTAAATATCTTGAATGCAAATGATTGCAACTCTATCATTTTTTTTTATCTTCATAATTCTCGGTAATTTTTCCTTGAAAAGCAGTCTAGTAATATTAATATTAAACTCCATCTGAAAATTTACTTTCACAAATTTAACAAAATAACTTCATTTCACACCTTTGTTGCCATTTTTTTTTATTTAGAACGTCAAAATGAGAGTTTCCAAAAAAATTCTGTTTTGTCTCAATTATTTCGCAGTAATTTTATTACATACATACATAGTACATTAGTAATAATAGCTACATAAGTAATGATTTTTTAAAAATATTTTTTCTTTACTTAATTTATATTCATCTTTGCAATTGTTTTGGTTGCATGAAGCTATATTATTCTACTTAGTGTTTGAAAAATCTTTGAAACCATCGCAATTTTTTTTTTGCACCAAACTATTAACGAACTTTTGCATTAATATAAATAAGAGTTATTATTACAAGGGTTCTCAAACTTCTTTAAAGGTTGAGCTTATATTGCTACATAAATATTATTGCAATAAAATAATTTAACTGCTCACACAGAGTCTAATCGAATGTTTCTTAGGAATGTTTTATAGTTTATGTACTCTTAAACTTTTAAATTACTAATCTAATAATTATCAACGTTGCCTGCATTAAATATTTACCTCCAATAGTCTCACAGATGTTTGAGAATCTATGTTATCAATTCTGTCATTTAATTTAGACTACATACTATGCAGACTCTCTGAGGTGTTTCAATAATTTGTATTTAAAAAAATAAAATACTACTAATACATCCTAAAGGTCAATGTTGTGAGTAGTGAAATAATGGACAAAAAGTGATTTATTTATCATTTTAGGTAATACCAATGCAAGAGGAACTTGAGGTGCGGCTGGAAGAAGGAAATTTTCCGATCTCACAATGGAACTCAGAATATGGAAGAGAAAAAACTTTGGCGCCAGAAATATCTCCAGACTGTTCGGGTTCGAATAAAGATTGCGAAAGTTCTTTACCTTCATATACGAACCAAGTGAAATTGGAATTGGAAGTCACTCTAACTCCAGAAGATGATAATTCTGTCACTAGCACCGTCGGAAGTGTGAAAGTAAAAGATGAAAATAGTAAGACCACCAATGTGATGACTGTGATTCCTCCCACTACAATTGTATGTTTGCCGGCTGCTATTACGAATAGTACAATAGCAAACCAAATGACTTTAAATCCGGCTTCTAGTATTGTCAGTTCTAGTTTGCAAAGAACGGCAATAGTGGCAAGTTCTAGTTCCATTCCTTATCTGTCTTTAGGAACAAGTGCACCAATTAGGGCAGTTACTCAAAGGCCCAAATCTAAGAATTCTAAGGATCAAGGTTCAAATGGAACACAGTCGAATAGGAATAGAACCAATAATAAACCTCCACCAGGTGCAGTGAATCTAGAAAGGAGTTACCAAATATGCCAGGCAGTGATACAGAATAGTCCCAACAGACATCAATTGAGATGCCAATTGAAACCACCGCCTTCCTCATTTTTAAATAATATAAGTAATAACAATAATAATCACACAAAAAAGATTGAAAATAGAGCAACTCAATATGGTACTGTAACTTCATCTAGGAATGTGAATCTTCAGAAAACCTTCAATGCACAAGGTCAGTTTTAGTTTATAATTATTTTAAATATTCGTGCCAAAGTTGAATGGTTTAAAGTGCAGTATTTTAACTTGTTTTACTAAAAGTTATGACAGTGTTTATAATATTATTTGTGTACAAAAGTACAAGATATTAAAAAAATATAACATATATTTTCGTTAATTTGAATTATAGTACATAATGTTCTCATAAAGATCAGTTCATTAATAAGAAGTATGATATGATTATATTTTTAGGTGTTGCGTTTCTTTACAATTTGAATAACAAATGTTTTTAGTAATAATTTTAATTGATTTTATTTTGCCACTCAACAAAATTTTGCACATATTTAAAGTTTGTATATAGCTATATTCATATATAAACATAATTGATTTTAGTAATATTTTCAAAATAGGTATTAATAATAGCTACCCCAAACCTCCGCCTAAACCAAATATGTTAGCACAAAGACAATCACCACCTATTGTAGTTCGACATGTTTTTACCTCAAATCAAGGCATTCCTGTTACAATGGCAGTTTTACCACAAGCTACTAACAATGAGGTAAATATATATATATATATATATATATATATATATATATATATATATATATATATATATGTATATATATATGCGCCTGCAGTTTGCAACAAAGTCAATTCATAGTAATAATGAAGCTAGCATGGTAAAAATTTAGAAGATACAGTAGAACCTCGATTATCAGGACCTCAGTTATACAGACTTGCGATTATCCGGACTACCAACCGACACAGAGTTATATGTATGTACATACCTACAATTCGAATTTTTGCACGATTTATGCTGCTAGTATATGTATGTAATATAATCTAAGAAAATATATATGTATATACATAAGGAAATGTAAATATCTTATTAAACATTGACTTTCGTTGATATCTATGTATGTATCATATACAGTTTCGTTGATATCTACGTATGATTTTGTTGATATCTATGTATGTATTTGTTATTATTGATAAATACACATCATTATTCTTCATACATTGGATTATCCGGATTTTTGATTATCCGGATGCCTATCGACAACAATTAGTCCGGTTAATCGAGGTTCTACTGTAGTTGTAAAACAAAATGCAATAAATAAAAACGTAGTACGCATTTATATAAAAACCACACTACTTTGTGAACTAATGTTACACATATATTATTTGTAAGCAGAGTATTGAAAACTCAGGAGTACACATGAGCAGTAGTGGAACAATGGGGCAATACATACTTGTTCAGCGGTCAGTTGGTGAGCATCAGGCCGCACCTAGGGCTAGTAGTGCTCCTCCAACTAATCACGTACAGGTTTGAAATTTCTTTTATTATCAGTATGCTTTTAACTTTATTTGATATTTAATTTTTTATTCTATTAATATGATTATTGGGACTTACAGGTAGGCTTACAAAATCACATAGGAAGTAATCCATTCACAATTGATGTGCGTGGTCGACCTGCGAGTGTTGATGTCGACCGTAATAATATGCCAAATACACTGCGTCAGATAACTTACAACAATGATAAACAGGCTGTAAATAGAGGTCATAGAAATTCAACTGTAAATTACAGTGGTGTAAGTATGGATCCTACTTTGCAGAATTATGCTTTTATAGGTGACAATTCAATGATCATGGACCCTAATCATGGGGTCTTATCCTCCCAACAAAAAACTTGTTCCACGCCAAACAGCCATCAGCAAGGTATCTCTTCGGAAATATCTTGTACATGCAACATGCAAGCCATGATAGTTTGTCAGAAGTGCGGCGCGTTTTGTCATGATGACTGTATGGGCACTTCTAAACTCTGTGTATCTTGCCTTATTAGATAATTTACTCCCATGGCTCTAAATTGTAAAATATTTTTTCTTTTAATTCATATAAAGTTAGAAAAAACTAATTCATAAAGTTTTATCTGTGAATATTAGCTATAAGCATTTTTAGTATAGATATTATTGATAGTTGTCATAAAATTTTCAGTCGTTTAATTTAATCATATTTTTCATTTAATATTTAATAATATTTAACAAATAATATTATGTACATGATGTCTTAGATAAGGACTTGACAGGGCAATCCATATGTTAAAAATTATTGTATTATTATCTTTGCTTAATATTTGATAGATACATTCGTATTAAAAATTTGGCATAGAAACCATAATGACACTGGTTGACATTTTTTTTTATATTATAAAAACGTTATTCTATTTATATATCCAGTTAAAAACTTACATGACGATATAAATTGCTTTATAGCAATTTTTTTGTTTATATTTTTTAAATGAGTGAGAATTATACAATAATTCAATAGAGCGTTATTTTTGTGGCACATAGTTGGGAAAAATTTGATTACAACTCACTTATTGGAAAAGTGAATAAGTTTGTAAAAATAGTACATATTAGTGATGAATGTTTTTGAGTTCAGATTTTTCTGAGTTTATGAAAAAGCTTATTTCTTTATAAAAAAAACAATTTATTTTTTATTAAAGGTTGTTCAACCCTAACACTTTTTTTTTTAACTTTGGTGTCAACTTTTGGAGTTTATATACACATAGTTGCTTGCAGTCTTAAAACTGCAGACAGATATATAAATACTTTTTTTTTTCATAACAGAAGGGCATTGTAGGATTTCAGATAAATTTTAAATTAATACAATGAAGTTGATACCTAAACTTATATATTTTGACCTAATTTTTAATCTAATTTGTTTTTTATTTTTTGCAAGCAACATTTTTAAATAGTAATCTACTTTGCGATAAATGAATTGAACTAAAAAGTAAGTCTAAATTTGTGTATTTCAAAATATTGTCAACCAGTGTTACTATTGGATTTTATTTTATGTGTTAGTAATGTATGAAATTTGTGATTTTTTTGCCAGAGGCGTACTTACATATTGCTTAATTATTAATTATTTGAGCCTATTTTATATTGTTTTACCTATTTCAGATATAAGTTTTATATGTAGGTTTGTTATTACAATTTTTTATAATTTGTTTCTGTAGATATTTTATTTGTGCAAGAATCCATTGCCTATTAAGAGAGTGAGTTCTTGGTAAACTGATTATTGTATTAATAAAATCATTGCAATACATATTTAAGAAGTTGATATAATAAGTCAATAAATATTTGCAAAATATATTTTTTAAATAATGTTTAATATTAATTTTGATAATAGATTTGTACTAATTAGTACCATGTTTATAATATATTGCACATGCTTTGTTCAGATATTATGCGATAGTTTTTCATAACATTAAATACCATTTATTTAATTTTTTTGCATTCTCTCGCGTTGTACAAAATAAGAAAGCTACCTCATATGTGCATGCAAATATATTTACACACAAAAACACACAGCCAATGCGATTTAATCAGTGCGATTTTGAATTTACATGTTAGAAAAACAAACAATAATTGAGTAATTACATTAATTATAGTGCACAATCACGAGTTTGTATGTTCTAAAAGCGAAGTCCATCGTTCCAAACTTTGATATATTTTTTTCAATTAAAAATAATAAATTCAATCACCTTTCGTAAAAATGTCAGAATATTCATTCAGACCATCAAGCATAAGGCTATTTTTAGTTCATTATCATCAACTCTATTGTTATTTCATTGGAAGAAACTACCTGACCGATCTTTACAAAAACTAATCAACGCGATTCTTAACCAATATCTTTCAAACAGTTGAGTTTTTAAAAACTATTTAAGATTTTTGGTTTTACTGCTAGGTACAAAGAAACAGCTTGGTCGATTGACGGGCAAAACTGATAAACGCGATTTCCTATCAAGTTACATCGAATGGCTTTCAAATTTTTTAAATTGGTTTGGACATTTTTGAACAAAAATCGGCTCACGTCGAGAAAACTTAAAATTAGCAATTATTTTTTTACGAAAACATAATTATCCTATAGGGCAGTTAACGATATATTTATTTATTATTCATATTCGACATATTGGCATATAGTGGTGTCCTCATTTTTTTTTTTAACGAAACGCTAAAATTTAAATTTCCGATTCACGTATTTGTCTCGGTTCCGTTTGAGTTCAAGTCCAGCAGAAGAAAAACGTTTGGGATTCCGATTCACGGTTCGGGAAAACATGCCGGTTCGTTCTGGTTTTTGTTCCGGTTTGGATTTGTTTTCAACCCTTGTTTCTAATAACATAAAAATTTGTCAAAAATTATAAAAAAAGGTTCAACAATTCTTTTTAATTTTTTTTTACTATACCTCAGCCAACGCTCGTTATCAGAAATCATCTTAGCTACCTATTAGCTTAAATTGATTATAGTAAGCTACCTTTTAGCTTAAATTAACATTCAGTACTATTTAAAATGATTTCGATTTCATGTTAACAACAAAAAATTTCGTGTTTGGACTTGGTATATTAACCGTTTAGCTACGAGGGTCTCCTATAGACAACATGCATTGTGTCGAATTTTGCTTCAATATTTAGGAGTTAATTTATTGCTAATTCTAATTTGTTATGATTTTTAGTTATTCAGGGTGTATTTTTTAATTTTGAATTATATTTGTATTAATAATCATTAAAAAATAAAAAGTACTGTCACAACGCCGAAGTGAAAAGATTGAAGGTCATTTTTCTTTAGCGCTAAAAATCATTCGCAATGAAATATATACTCATGTGTTATTATTACTAATTATTAGGTTGGAAATTAAGTAAGTGCTTTCACGCATAGATGATTTCAAGTGAAATTTTAGAGTTGCTGATGTCGTTCAAATGTAAAACTCATTTTGTTATTGAGTAGTTGACAAATTTTTATCGTAATTTGCTTTTTTATTTCCGCACAAGGAAAAACAGGAAGCTCAAAAAAGTTATATATTGTTTATGGTGTCGAAGCCTTAAAAAAGCGGCGGTGTCAAAATTGGTTTGACAAATTACGTTCTGGTGATTTTTCACTTAAAGATGAAAAATACTCTGGTCGTCCAGTTGAAGTTGTTGACGACCTAATCAATCTTAAATCAATAATCGATTCGGTACACTGATGTATGACACGTGAGATCTCAGAGAAGCTCCATGTATCACCTTAACTCTTTAAGGACGAGCGCCGCATATATGCGTTTTAAGCAGATCATCAACTTAGCCGAAGAACTCATATATATGCGTTTGATGCAGACAGTTGTTGCAGCCGAGAAACGCATATATGAGTCCCACCAAAGTAAATATATAATATAAAATAATATATAATATATTAGTTTATAAACAAATAAACATTTTATTTATCCTGTGGCAAAACTGTGTATAAACATATAATATGTCCAGAATTTAAATAGAAGTGCTATGAACTAAAGTCGCCCTTAAGCAAAAATATGCGTTGAGTTTTAAATGGCTCGGCACCACGGTACGGTACACTTGTACTTATGCTTATTTATCTATCCTTATCGAAGGGTTGAACAATTTAACTATGTTTAAAAGTTTTATACATGGGTTCCTCGCGAAAACTCAGTTAAAAAAGAGCAGCCCGAATTGACACATCAAAAAAGTGTTTTCACTTCATCACAACAATGCATGGCCACACACATCTTTGACTGTGCTCGGCATAAATAATTGAAACTTGGCGCCTTGATGGGATGTTTTGCCACATCCATCATATAGTCCCAACTTTGCACCATCGGATTATTTTCTGTTTAGAACTTTAGAAAAGTCGTTGCATTGTGAATATATCAACAATGATGATGGTGTCAAATTGTACCTGATTCAGTATCTTGCTAATAATAACCAAAAGGATTTATGATGTCGCTTGTAAGATTACAAAAGGTCATTGATATTAGAAAGTAAAGATATTTAGTTCCATATAAAAAATGTCAAAATTTTCAACAAAGATCCGCACTTACTTAGTTTCCAATCTGATATTTACTTATTGTTAGTTAATTTTAAAATATTTTTATCATACAATATATAGTTATAACACTATTTTTTATCAAAAAAGTTTTTTTTATTAAAACTTTAGGTTTTAAGTTTTATGAACAAGCGTCAAAAGATAAAATAAACGAATACTATCCACATTAGGCTTTTTGGACCTCGCGGGTAGTTTATTAAAATTCTGCAGTAGGGGAGGTATTATTTCTCTAAAATGATTTTTAATGCCTCTTTTATGTCAACTCTCAAAAAATTTTTTTTTTATAATTCACTATATAAATTTCGTGCTTGAATTTTGTAAACAATTTTGTATTAGTAAAGTGTTTTTGTTATTATGCCCAGAAAAACTATTGCATGTTATATATTTATATAATTGTATAATATATAATATGAAATGTACAGCTATAAACTGTTTTGAATGAATAGAAATTTCGTAGTTTCATTTTTATCCTTCATTTGAACGTTTTGAGATTGTTTCACTCCACGTTATCAAAAACTATTATGAAAATTATCTTTACGTATTAAATTTAAAAATGATCAAACTATTTATATTTAATTTCTTTGACTGCAATCATAAACTGATAAGTGATGCCGCCCGAAATGCATTGATTGACAGTTGTTCAAATATAAGGTATTTGAATGCATATTGAATAATCGATGATGAATTTGCACACAAAGTTTATTGCGGATGCTATTGGGATTCGTGCTGCTTTCAGTATTTATGAGTGAACCTTTCAACTAGTTACGCAAAATCTTATTTCTTCCATTTTTAACATCGGAATTTACCTCAAGACTTTATAAATCTATGGCAAACTTATTATTTTTTCATTTCTTTTGCGATATATATATGTGTGTGTGTGTGTGTGTATAAAAAAATATGTGGATGTTTTTTTGTGTAAAAAATTAATTATGTGTGAAGGAGCATAATTATAGGAAAACAAATCTCTTGACGACGTGACGACATGTGGTCTTCACGAGGTCTTACACG